GAAAGAAAAACATAAATCTTAAGCAATGTGGACAAGTCACTTCTAGTATTCCGATAAATGGGGTAAGCTCAATATTATAGCTGAAAAATACGCCAAAAAATCTTACTCAGATGTTTACGTTGATGATTTTCCTTACCGTATAATTAAATGGGTTTTGAACTCTGAATTTACTAGGAATCAGGAATTGGGTAGACATAATGTTGTGTCTGTCAAGCTATAAATAGCACATTTTTTTCTTATTCGAACAGTAATCGCTTCATATTTATAAATTAACCTGTTTAAAGGTCAGAATGTATCTGCAGCCTATTAACTAGACTTAGAATAGTCTTCATAATGTAGTTGTACCTAATTATGATCCAACTAGAGTGCTCTTTAAGGCGTAAATTCATTAGAATTCCATAATATTATTTATGGCTTAAATTCGTTAGAATTCCATAATAATATGACGTCAGAGTCTAGTGGAAATATACTACCTATTTTCTACCTCTGTCGCAGAGATTATTATCCAGCTGTATTAAATTTTGGTAAGCGGTACACCGAGTCTAAAACGTGCCTTGAATTTCATTCTTGTTTTGGGCAGCATAATTTTGGTTTTAGTTTTCTCTAGTCTAGAATTTTGTGGAAGGATTTCTTCTATGGAGGATAAAACCATACATCATCATGATGCTGTGCACACAACCATCGATCATTAACCTGTACATCGGATTTATTTGCAGTTGGTTATTTCTTAAGATACTAGTTTATTATCACGTCTTTGTCTATGTTATCTTGAGTTTAATTTAAATTAAAATTTTCTCGTATAGTTGCATTTTGTCTTGCTTGTAAGATCTTCAGTTGAGTATCAGCTAACTCCTAAACAGTAATGTACACTTACGTCCGTATTCACAAACATTACTATGAGGTCTCACATTGCGCATGGACACACAGGGTGACACTCGAACCAATCACAGAGCTCTGTGCTGTGCGTTCGATTTGCTGCTTCAGTTAAGCAAGCATCGTTTGTGAATACGGCTAAAAACTAATGTAAAGGACATCAGCTAGGGCGTGCCTGCGGGAATCAAACTCTTGCTGTCGAAATCAAGAAAGTTGACTACCAAAAGTTATCAAAACACAATAAACTGTAAACAAAAGGTATAAAGAAGTGAATAAAAATACACGCAATAAATAACTAAATTATAAAAATGTTGGTCTACCTATCGGTTTCCAACAACCATTATTATTGAGTACAAAGTACGGTAGTAGAATATAAATGAAGGTTGTATTACTATAACATTCCCCAAAGCTTGGTCCTAACCTAAGCTATTGATTTTCTTGCGTGTCCACTTAGTAATACTTCTTTGTAACTAGGGCATGTTAAAAATACTGCATTTGTATTTCAGAGACGTACTTATGGAATAGTTATTTATTTCATTAACAATTTATATGCACTTAAATCACAGTTACATAAGGCGAACTTAACACCATTCGGCCTTCTTTTCCAGTTAACATTAGGGTTAAACTGAGAATAGTTACCTTTTAATACAATAATAATAATGGTTCTTGAAATCTTTGATCCCAGTGGATAAGCTCGTAAATAAGCAACAAAGGCTGCTTAAATATAAATATTTAAAATCCAGAATATCGTACCCATCTTATCTTTAGAGTACTTTATACAGGTATCGTAAATACATACAATACTCGTATTTACCTATCTATACCTATGTGTTACACTTACTATTATGTCAGTAACGTATTTCCTATTAAGGGAAATGTTTCGTTCCTCTGATTAATAAATTGCTCCAGAGTAATTTCATTAATACTTCCTTCACGTTCATTCTCTTTTATGTTATTACTATTGCTGTCTTTCATTAACATCATATTACGTTATGTTGATTATTATTAATAAGTTGATAAGATTTTTTATCCTCTACTACATATTATTTGTATGCTACTCGTATGGAGATAATAATTTAACAATACCTATTCATTTCTTTAAAATCTTCATCGTGTTATTTGTACGGCGAAATCGAATCTTTCAAATTTTTATTTGTTTTTATAATTGTTACTTTTTAAAATTCACGGTTATTATTTTCTTGATTTGTAGCTTTCCGCTCACCATGGTCTGGATTCTCTAGAGTGAACTTTATTTTGTGTTTCTTAATTGTACCCTACAGATTCACGTTAGCGGTCATGTAATTAGCAGATGGATTAATACGAGTAATAGCATTCAGCGTTCCAAACGTAACATGCTTGATTTGATTGCATTATAATTGCCCAGATCTGTCACTATAACGAACTTTTTAAAGCACTGTAATTATTGTTTTTGTTTGTGTCTTAGAGACTGCTTCACACGTTTTTCTGTTACACAGACGGATTTACTTATTGCAGTTTTATATGAGAATCAAATCAATTAAAAATAAACGATCGTGAACCCCTATCACGAGCAAAAAAGGACCTCCCATAACACTTCCCTTAAGTGGGATGTCGATACTGACATTTTGGAGCTCCCACTCCTTATTTGTAACCTTTCTTGGGGTTCATCCCTGTAGAGCTTTCCCTTGGGATTACCCAACCTTCACTGGGTAGATTCGATTGCCGATCAATTAATAAATTGCAGTGATGGCAAAACCGGTGGGCGTGTGAATAAAACCTATACTCTTTACTACATGTATATGTATGAAGCATACAATATTGTTTGGCTTGCCATATCAATGAACAATGATTTATGTCGTTTATATTGTAACTAAAAACTACCTATGTTTCACAGTGCACATTCATGGTCTGATAATTTCATCCAAATCAGCAAAAGGAAGTAGTTTCGTACACAAAGTCTTCTGAATTGGCGAAATTGTATTTTAAATGGTAAGTACCCGAGATTCCTCCAGTTGGATTTCCATTTCGTTGAAAACGGGCTTTTCGAAATTGGCTTGAGTATCAGTTTTCTAGATTGCTCCACTTATGCAGACGTAGTAACAGTTAGAGGTATACAGACAGATACAATACAAGCGAATGAATTTAGGATAAAATGGCAAAACAAACTTAGAACTCGTTTGAGCTTTTTGCTCGAATTTTGGGCTCCATTCTGTAAAGGCTTACGACGGGTGACTGTCACCGTGACAGTATGTCCCTCTTTATCTCTTTAAAAAGGTGTAAAAGTAACAGATATACTTATCCTATCACGGATAATACTGCCACGGCGACATAAAAAGTCGAGTCAAGAGCGCGCAGCGGTAGTCTTTTAATACCTTTGAATTTTTCTCTTTCCTTTTGGTCGAGAAACATAAAAACCAGTAGTTCTACTGTATGTTTAAGACACTGTGTCTTATTTAGCATCTGCCTCATGACAGCTCAGTATAACGTAGTATAGTTCGTTGCTAATCCTGTTTACTGCGGTGTCTTGGCAAACGTCCCTAAGTTAGTCGTACGGCTTAAGACATTGAGATCGTAATTTAGCAAATTTTGAGGCGTATAATTATATTTTGGATCTGCATGATTAATGCAAACGCTTTTAATAATCATAAAGTTTAAAAGGTGTGGTTCTTCAAAACAAATTAGGTACTTTGATGTATAAGTTAATGAATATTAGTGAGTTATTGGTTCGTAAGTACGAGTAATAAGTATATAATTATCCAATGAAAAATAAAATTGTGCCACATAAAATATAAAATTAAAAAAAAAAACATAAAATCCGAAATTGTAACAAAACACAGGCCTGCAAAAAAAAATATTTTTTTTGGTGCAGCTCTTTTTGTATATACGATCGATAATATGGGTAATCTACAATATATTGACATACTTCATTTCAACTTATCAGCTCTAGTTTGTCGACTACCCTCATTTTAGTTTTTTTTCCGTCTTGTTCGCAAATAGTCATTATTACAAAAACATCGATAAACTTTATGTTTTTATTTAGCTATGGATACTACGTCTAGATGTTGTGTTAACGATCCTGATTAATTTTGATAAGTTTGTGGTGAATACTACTGAAATATCAGCATGAAACTATGAAAAACATGGCGAATTTTTTGTATTTTGCTTACTTCGGTATTGAAATTCAATACAAAGGTAAGGTGTAGGTGCCTCAAATTGTATGTATAATGTGCGTTGAACATCTGTGAAGATACTAGAAAGGCACACGTAAGTTTTTGAAGCTTGGAGTGCCTATGATATGGAGAAAATGGCCAATATTTCCAGTTAATTTAACAGAAATTTCCAATTTTAAGTACTGATAAACTAAAAGCAGGTATATTTGATGGACTTCAAATAACTGTATTAATAAAAGACTCCACTAAATTTAAGATTTCTATGAACGATGCGGAATGGTTTGCGTGGAAATCTTTTGTAGCAGTTGTACAAAATTTCCTGGGAAAGCATAAGGCTGACAACTATGTAGAATTAGTATAGGATGTGCTGGTTCAATTCAAAGATTTAGGCTGTTATATAGGTATAAAATTACACTATTTTACCAGTAAACTAGATCAATTCCAACAAAATTTAGGAGAACTAAGCGAAAAACAAGGAAAACGTTTTCACCAAGACATAAAAACAATGGAAAATAGTTACCAAGGAAGATGGGACGCTCATATGATGACCGACTACTGTTGGAGAATCATGCGAAATTGCCCAAGTAAGTTTCATTCGAAAAAATCACTCAAAAGACAATTTCTTGATGTTTAATGCTAATAAAAATACATATTTATTGTGAAAATTGTTTTTTAGTTATCTCGGGAACTAGAGCTGATAGAGAAAAACTGATTACATTTTTGATATCGCCATGCAAGACATACTTAAAATCAGGTCTTAAATCCCCGGCACCAAAATGGCTGTAGGCCAGTGAATTATTATTCAAAATGGCCGAAAGTAAGATGGTGGAACTCAGCATAAGGCCTAAGGCCTTGACTACAAAGTGAAACGGCAAAGTATGAACGTTCAAAAAAACTAATTTTATATTTCTTCTGAAAGACTGTATAAATTAAAATCAAGCTTTTCAATACCTAATTTTTATATAGAAGTGAACTCACCGTTTCCCGCTTTCCAAGAAGTGATCGTACTCCACAGACATCTTGCAGCAGAGGTGTTTGCGCTGGTGCGACGCCGAGCAGTTGGTGTTCACCATGTGCCCGTCTGATAACAGATGATAAGGAATGTAAACAAACATAACGCTGAGTGTGCACGACGAAGTTTCAGGTTAGGTGTGGTGTATAAAGTAAAGATATTCACTTGAGTGGTGTGTCACTGAAACATGTTTTTCATCCATAGAATAGTTTTTTGGTAGGCTGTCTCTTTTACTTTTATAAATATTTTCCCATTTTTTTCTGTTTTAACGAGTCTCTTATTTTCTGATTAGATAGCTCAACAATGAATAAGAAGAGACCTTTGGCATTGAGTTTTCTTTCAGATTTATTCTCTCGTTCTGTAACTTCTGTTCAATACAGATTGAAATAACAATTAAATAAAGGGGCCATTAATCATGTTTTTCACATCGTGGTTACTGCAGAAACCATTGCTTAACAAATACGGTGGTCAGTGTATCGTTTTTTCGTTGCGAACTCATAGAAACATATCTAGTCAACATTGTTGACTTATAGAAAAATATCTATAAGTCAACAATGATTCTGCCAACTTGTCATTATTGTTTTGATCCAGCCATTAAAAGTGCCTACTGTCACAACAAATACATGCCAACACATTGCATTGCATCGCTTGCGAAACGTCAACGGTTGAGACATTTTCCCCACGTTTTTTACAAGATGAGTAGCTTCTGTCAACAGTATATAAATTTTCACAAAATAGGATCAGAATCAGACTATACATTTTTATTGCAAAATCACCCCTATTACAAACTGCTTAAAAGACAGTATTACCACCATGATGTGCTGTAATGCGTAGGTCTTTCACTTTGCATTACTTCAGTCGGCCGTTTGGTGTAGTGGTTCGAAACGGACTACTATGCCGAGAGGTCCCGGGTCCGATATTTATTCCTGTCTACTTTACATACTTACATTGTCAGACCTCAGCTTTACTTTTTGGCCGACTTCAAAAAAAGGACGAGGTTTTATTTAAGTTCTATGTTTCTTTTACTACTTCGTAAGCAGTTCGATGACTGAATTTTGAGAATAAAGAATTGAGTATTGAGTATTGACTTCACGACACTAACGCCCGTATTCACAAACATTACTATGAGGTCTCACAGTGCGCGTGGACGCATAGAGTCACACGCGAACCAATCACAGAGCTCTATTCAACGCTGTGCGTTCAATTTGCTGCTTCACTTAAGCAATCATAGTTTGTGAATACGGGCGTAACAACTTTGCAGTTGTGAATCAGTGTAAACATGACCATCTTACAAGAATACTGTTTATAATACTGGCACAGACGAGACTACCTACATCAAGCTTAACACTGTGGGATCTTATATGGTTGTAATAGATGCTATTTTTCAACAAAAAATTATAGTCTAATATGCTGTCGTTTTTACGATGCCAGTCGCAGTTGATATCTGTTAACAACCACCGTTACTGATAACGACCAAATAAAGTAAGCAAACATTTTTGCCCATTTTTGTGGCTGTGAAAAGCAGGATCCAAAGCTTAGCGGTGGGGTTTAAACTATACAGGGCTATAACTAAAAGGGCTTATAAAACTATACAGTCCAAAAATACTAGTAAAAACCAAAAAATATGGTAGAATTCAGCAGCTGGATGTTTTATATTTGTGGAAAACTGTTTTAAACTAAAAGCTTTAAGCTCCCAACTTACTTGTTTGGTTTTGGTGCTGCCGGTTTTCTATGTCAGTAAAAAACCATGTCTGAAACAAAACAAATATGAATTTAAAATACTGAAATGTATTGCTGAAAATGAGTTAAAATGTAACTGGTTTATATTATTGAGTTAAGAACAAAACGAAAATGCATGTGGAATGGTACTAAAAATAATTAAAATGCAATGTACTTATCTTCTTGAGTGAAGTAAGGATAGCAATATTATCTAATAGGACACTTTTGTAAGAAATCTTATGACGCCCTAAAAAGCTACCAATATCCCAAAGTTATACCTATCACGCCTATAGCTACAGCTTATCCATAATAATAATTAGTGTAATAAAATCAGATTATCTCTCCAATATTGCTCGACAGCAATATAGTATAAACTATATGTTTTCATAACAATGTTAATATACAATTTAAATTAGTTATTGTAGACTACCGAAACAATGTTTATGAATTAATTACTGACGTAGCAAGGGGTATCACGAGTCATGATACGAGGGCGGGGTAGAACTCCCGGTTTATCGGTTTTTAAGATCTATTAGTTGGTTATACCAGCCTCTGTTTTGGAACCAACGAATGCTTATAAAACATTCATAATAGAACAGTCGCCAACGCTGACTGTATCTACCTATTCGTTGCAAAATACTTTCGGTTGCAAAATTGGCACCCCTAGGTGAAAACCTCGGTAATACAGAAACATTACTTTCAGAGAGTCTTTAGCAAACATGAGAATTTTATCAATTTAATGTGATTACTCGTATCATAAGTCATAACATTTTAAATGCTTTTACGAATTTAATTCAAAATTCCTACTTTTGGACTCGGGTTTTTATCTCAAGGTGTAACAACGGTTAACGATCCTAATATAGTTAGGCCAAGTATCGTATAATGCAGTTTTGTGTTTGTCTTGTATACTTAACAATTTTGTGATGGTAACTTTTTACTGTTGAATGTACAGTCACGGAATGAAAAGGTTCGTCAGTTTTCAAATTGATTCCTTCAACGAATCGCGAGCACATATTACCTTTTGAAACTATGTTACAGAAGAATCTCAAATTAGAGAAAATAATCTTTAACTGTTCGTCAGTAAAGTTCAAAATTATTCAGATCAAAGTTGTTTGACGATTTATCTTGTCAAGAAGATTATTATGATTGATAAACTAAAACCTTCTTGTTGGTTCAACCTGCCATTATTGTCTATTAAATAAAAAAAAAAACTATTGTCAATTGGTCAATGTCATCATTGCATTGCACTGATGGGATAGAAAAATAAACAAGCAAAACCTTATTCGTCAGCAAACGTCATATTTATTTAAATGTTAGCAGAACTGTTTCTTGCACTGTTATGTTGGCAGGTTTGACTCTTCGGTGCAAGAGAAAACCGACACTAAGGTGACGAACCTTTTCATTCCGCGACTGTACAAATTGGGGGACAAAATGTTTTGAACACAATGATTTATGTACCTGGACCCTTACATTTTTATACTGTACACAGTGTGTTGATAATGTATCAAGTTATTTACTGTCATCATGTTAATATTATGTGGTCAAGTATGACGACTACGAAGCGAAGCTTTGTTTGGCGCATTATCATTTAGGGTGGAATTCCCGCAATCTTGCCGTCTGTTGTTAGAACACACCCGGGAACTAATACCTGGCAGGTAAATATGCAGGGAATTTGATGATATGGAAACGGTACGAATTTAATTTAAAACATCAATTTTAGAACGTAAAAAACTAAAAACACAGACTATTGCACATTTTTTCTGTAACGTAATTTATTAGTAAATATATTCTTACGCCAAATTTTTTATAGTACAATAAACTTGCTATTTTCTTTATTTATTTAGGTACTAAGGAATTTATTATTAACACTTATCTGGCAGTTTTATTTAGCCAAAAATCTAAGTAGGTACTTATTTAATGTGTTTTAACAAATCTTAATAAATATTATTTGGTGACATCAAGATGCTACAAAACTCCAGACACTTGTCTTACGTGTCTTGATCACTAATAAGTTAATAACATTTGGTATTTCCACCTCACATAAAGCTTCAAGGAAAAAATTTTATTGCCAATTTATTGACTTATTTGCTACGTTTCAATGATCCTATTCGGGTAGTGTAATACGTTTCTTGAAAGCAATCATTCTCATATAATGTTGAAATAATAGTCATGGCTATTAAAATTTCAATTCAGTGTCCATTGACTGCATCCTTATTTTTTATAAATTGTATTATATTATAATTGTATTATAAATGAGTTTGCGTTGGGGACTTAAATAAAATTAAGGTAATGATACAGTTAGTTACGAGGGTAAATATGTACCTACATTATGTACCTATTCAGGCGAGTTTGTCAAAAGTGGTTTGCTGAGTTTGCGCTAGCGGAATCAATTTTAACATTGAAATATAGCTTGTAAAAAACGGGAGATCTTGATATATGGCATGCCTTCTTGGGAGAGCTTTAAGTCCAGCAGTAGAAAATTTATATTATTGTTGTGTTACTATAAGTAACTTATTTTACATTGAATGCATTTAGATTGAATTAAGAAAAATATAATAAAATAATCTAATAGGTTAAGCTATAAGTAAAGCTAAGCCATTTCAATAAAAATACAATCGCGCCAAAGTCGCTTCCAGTAATTCACTTCTGAAACTATGTGCAAATAGCATTAGACACACCCGGGTTGTACACGACATGTTTGCTTTCGTGAGGGCGTGTCACAGTGACCACATTCATTCAGTTGAGGGCGTCAGAAAAGGCGCGGAATGTCAACAGATTTAGATGTTTGAAACGTAAACAAGAGATATTAAAGATATGTATTATGAAAGACATGACCTGAGTGACCAGGGATGGACTGGGTACCGCTGTATTGACACATTTTTCAGATAGTCAAGCACGGGCTAAAAATTAACAAGTACCTACAATTTAACCGCTTTGAAATTAAAAGTATACATCACAAGATTTTGCAGTGAAAATTATGTGAAACACTAAAGTATTGCCGTTTAAGTTAATCATATTTAAAAAATTACAAGTATTTGGAGAAGTTAACTCGTGCTCAAAAATGATAAACATAAAATAAAATATTAATTTAGAAAATATTGACCAACAGGTATAACAATCTTTTCATTTTGCGTTTTGAATTTAGGTAGAGAGCCAACAAATAATTTCACGAGATGTCAAACCAGCCGTAGACTTCTACGAATTGAGCTCATAAAAATAGCGAAGATAAGCTCATGGGACATGTGATATGTGTAAACAAACCTGTATGACTGTCAACGTACTGGTCAAATATATCTACCTAATATAATATCGCAATCTGCCATACGATACCGATGTTAGTTCAAGAACAGTTGAACCTGTTTGTCGTAGAGTTAAATTAAGAAGTTTTGAAAAGCCCATTTTGAATAAAAAGTTCGTAGAATACAAAGGAAAGATAAGCAAAGATAAGTTGAATGATAACGAGCGGGTTTTTATCAGGTTTGGAGCTGTCTTGGGAAACTACAGATGTTTCTACCAATAGCAAGCCTGAGCTTTACTAAATATCTTAGCTCAGTTCTAGGCTAAAGATACTTTAAGACAAACTGTAATTACCTTACCCCATAAATTAAAGAGAGTCAACCAAAGGTACATGTTGTATTAATATGCATACTCCCAACCTTATATGACTGTATCTAATCTTATTATGGAAACATAATGGCTTACGTTTAATCTATAAGGCATATATTTTTTGAATCTCATTACGTTTTGTAATTTATTTTTCAATAGTTAAGAATAAAAGATACTAATGAATAAATTAACTGAAACGTTTATTCGGAAACATCGCACAACATTTACTCTCACGAATGAAATACTGATCGTAAATCAAAATCGATCGAGCGGCAGTTTCGAATACAAAAGGGCCAACGAAACGCATCGCGGTCACGTGACCGGCGCGCGACTTGCGCTGGGCGGCGCGTGCGCAACACAATAGCTATGCTGGTCCTTCGGGCCGGATTAACGGTCAGCTATGCACGCTCCAGATTCAGGAAACTCGAGTTGAACGGGCACTGCACGATTGAACCGTTCTATTGTTTGCCCTCTGATAATAAACGGACCGTTTTGCTATTCAAATGGCGACTAAGCTACAATCTAAAACTAGTTTGGTGTTTATTTAAATTAGGATAAAACAGATTCGTAGAATTTTAGAGACCGTTTCTGATAATGCCTACATTGTTATCTTCATTAGTAATTCGAAGAAGTCTCAAAAGTTTAACTAGTTTGATTAATTGTGTCTGGATGAAGATAAAGGAATATTTTGCTCAATCCGATGAATTAATAGGTGTGATTTTGCAATAAATTATAAAGTCAGAAGCGCTGACGACTGTAAACCTTACAAAAATACATAGACAATTTTGAACATTAGCATGGCAAAGATACCCAAATAAAACTCCAACACAAGACTAGTTATCTCATCCAGATGTTAAAATAATCCGATAACTAGTTGCTATAGCCACTTGTCCAATGATACAGAAAAGGACGACATTGAGACGTCCTCGTTAAGCGAATCAGATGTAACTAATAGCCGTATTGACCTTATGGAGATATACGAATCCCGCTGAGACCATTTCTAGGGCATTTATCACTTGGTATTAAAACAGAGCTCCACGGGTATTCGCTTTATGGCACCATGTTTTATTGTTATTGCTCGATTTTAGTAAAAATACACGAAACTGGAAAACACAATTACAATACAAATGTGGATCGTTAAAATTCTATACAAACGAAATGCTAAAACCAAAGAAGATTTGCATACAAATGCGCCATAAAGTTGATTCTGAACAGTCTGATAATCAAAAATTGACAGTGAGAATCTGGAGGAAACTGGCAAAGCGGATGAATGTTAATGATTTAATGATTACAATGAAGATAGGCAAAACAAGTTAAAGTTAGTCAGTTCCCCAAAAACGTTTATCGTAATGACACCATTATCCATACTGAGAAAACGTTATTATGATGGTATACATAGATTGCCCAGTTGTTTGGGTTGGTACTTAGCTTGATTGTTGCTGGCGTTTAATTCATAATCGTTTTCAATGGCATGACAACTTGTTTACTACCAAGGACATTGATGGCTTTGGTCAACAATAAAAAACAAACAAAGTTATAAGTATGACTTAGATAATTCTTATTGGTATTATTCTTACTTGTTCTTTCGCCAACTGGAACCATGTCTTCAGAATTATCGGCAATCTTGTATATTGGTAATGTTTTGTTGTTTTAACACTTATGAAAATATCATCTAAAGTCACATTTTTATGCGGTCCACTGTCAAATATGCTTGTTTTGGTCACAGGTTCAATAGAAAGGTCGGGCACTTGCACTGTTCCTTGTCGATTCTCTTGAAAGTTGAAAGGCACTCCCCCCTGGTATACCAGGAGGCTGCAGTAGCCTAGAGCAATCAGCACTGCTGCTGCTTTAAACATTCTGCGCCCTCCCATGCCGAAGCCGGGTGGCGCCTGAGCACCGAGAAGCTAGGAAGAGTCTTAACACTTTGCCACTCATCTGTTGGACTTTAAAAACAAAACACTATTGATAAACAGCGTCGGATGCAAAGGCCGGCTCGGCGCGGTGTTCCCGCGCTAAAGAACGGTTACAAACTAAATAAAAATGTAGCACAGACGGCAAACATACGCCCGCGCGACCGCTCAGCCGCCCCCACCACGTGGTGCGAGGGAGAGGGCCGCTGAGCTCTCTGTCGTTGCAGGGCCTACCTGCGCGCGCGCCGGCCGCCTGGCACCATCGCCGGCAGCGATACTCATGTCAATGGCTCACGTAATTGTTGCTTACATCGTTGAAAGATACAAAACCAAGCATACAGGTATTGGGTCGGCTTGTTATGGTAACAAAAAATCTGCCAGAATAGATGACTTGTTTGGCGACACGTCCATTAAAAGGGACTAATTGCGATCGAATGGAGATTGATGATCGTACGAAAGTTAATTTACCTAGGTACATGAAACTTAATAGATTCTAATTTTGGATTAGTACTTGTATTTTGTACCTGATAAAATTTATTTAAAAAGCGTAATAGTCACTTCCCGTCAATTCACGGATGGATTTTCCAAGTCATTGTCCTAATTTGTTTCCATTGGTGGACAATACACTTTTGTTACGCAGCGGCTACATCACCGCGTCTCCGCAGTCCGCAGCATCAGTGGGTGGTAATGAAATTAGAACCGAGTCATTGTTGCATTAAATTCCACTCAAATTAGTTAATAAGAGATGAAATTGCTTACCAGCCGAGATTAATGGACCCAATTTAAAAGTTACACTGAAAAATAAGTTGATGCTACAAAGAATGAAGATTTGGATCGAGAATGAACTGTAGGTACAGACAACAGAATATCAGACTACATATTTGTTATAAAATCGCTCTTATTACAAACACATTAGATGCTCCAGTGTTTACGTTGATGTGTGTCGTCTGTATTCTAACTTCAGCAATCAATATCATTATGTGCTATTTTTATATGGTTAACCGCAAACTTCCATGTTTGCGTGATAAGCTCCTGATCTAAATCGACATACAAATTGTATAATAGGTAACATATAAAACTAAAATTGTACATTATTTTATCTGAATTGTGATACCTATACCTACTGTAGATTTAATTAGGTTCAAAAGAGAAGATAAAGAAGCATAGAATGCAGCACGGTTATATTTGTCAGAAACTTCCTAAACATTATTTAACCCTTCATTCCACGGCTACTAACAAGATTACTATAAAAGTAGCTATAACGACGCCTCACGGCAATTTTTCTGTACCATATTATTTATGTATTCCATTACAACATGGGGTTCAACATGTTGACCATTAATTTTAACGCTGCCCATCGAAGGTCGACATCCAGTAGTAAAATTGGTCATATCTAATTATGGTCCAACTGGATCACGATCGGTTGTTACTACACTATCAATTTGAATTTATACATGACGATCAGGCAAACCAATCTTGGAGTGACTTTTGTAACGGTTAAAACAAATTTTAATTGAAATTAACCATATATTTTTATTTGGATGCTACTTGATAGATGAGTAAGTAATTAACTTGACTTTTGAATTTTACTGCGTAGCTATTTGTTATTATGTCGTAAAAACTGCACTTAAAGTTCTAAGTGAATTCTGCCAAATTAGATTTTTGGTCATGATTCCATTATCAAAAACGAAAGGAATACGTCAGTGCTTTAATAAAATGTAGGAATCGTTATTTAAAACAATACACCATTTTGACTCAACCACAATGATAAAATATCGTGTTCATTTAAAACACAAACGTTGTATTTGTTGGTCAGAATTTGGATATGTACATAATAATATGAAAATCGGAACGACCTGATTAATTTACAAATGTAACATTATCCAATCTATGAAGTATGAACTCATAATATTATAGTAATCTTTTTTGCTTCACTTTCAAAAGGAAATTAACACGTCTCTACATCTTACGAACTAGATGATTCACAACTGTTTGTTCATAAAGTGCTAACAATTGAAAGCTTTATGAAGTTTGGGTCATCGTGGCTTTGGCAGCTCTGCACTCTCACTCTCATAATGCACCAACATTCTAACCTATATTGGGAGCATACACTGACAAACTTTCAGCTTTTATAAAATGACGTAGGTCTGGCGTTCACAAGCTCTTAGTCTTACCTTATCTAGCAAATAGAAAGCATAACTAAACACCATTAAAGACAATACCGGCGTAGATGGTAGCCAATAGAGTGGTAGCGAGAAAGGCCGTATCCATTGTTAATTGCGGAAGCTCGGAGTAATGGGGATCGCACACGCTAATCCACGCGTGGGAACACGTCTTGATTGTCAGATTTCCAATGCTTTCGAGCTGGAAGCTAATCGTTTTTGCATTCCATATAATGTATTCAGTAAGTTTCATAGCATAATGGATGGTTACATGATACACCTATTATAACGTGGCTGCTACAGAAAAAACTTTAGGAAGTGTAACGAGAGTAAGTAATAGGTCATTTTGGTTTCGATATTTATTTATTTACTTGTTCTGTACTAAGAATTTTTTATTGCTCTACAAGAAATTTCATGAAACTACTTAGATGTAATTTTTTAACAAATGCACCATGTTGCTTTTGATCCTTATAATGTACCTACCATAGATAAAACGTTATTAAGACATTTTATAATTAAAACGTTTAATAAAGAGCACTGAAAAAATAATTATTCTTTTGTGAAATGTTACCTAGGCTAGGTAAAGTTATATCCACACTGTTTTGAAGTCAAACAATCAATTGTATTTCTACTATTTGATATAATTATTCCGTGCTTAACTTTTTCTATTTTAAAAGTGTGTAACTAGCCTAATTCTGCCTTAATGCAACTTTTAAAATCGCAGAGGCCTCTCTCTAGGCTGTTAAGATAAAACGGATTGGAAAGCTGACAAGTGTCACTAAAATGTTTACGCGACAATTTATCATGACTAGTTATTCACATCTGGCGACTAGTCGATTTCTGTGATTGTTGTAATTGAGGAGAAAGTAAACACGATTGACGAGATCGGTGGAGAAATAATGGGACCGACAATTTGCAGATAAATAGACTGCAGTTTAGAAAGGTCTCGTAAAATAATTGGAAACACGAGAGTCCACTATTTACGTAACAAATTATTGGGCTAGTCACTCTATGACTAAGAGGCATACACAAAAACCTAATAAGAATACCTATAATAAAATAGGTAAGAAATTAACTTGAATGCAATAGTTGAACATTGTTACTAGGGTAACAGGCGTAAGTACATATAAGATGGTGCTACTATCTTCCACTACCAATCAAACCGAATAGAAAATATTGCCTCCACCGGGTGTCGAACCCAGGACCTCTGGGTCTGATCTCTGTAACTCTTTGCATCCATAGTTTCACCTGTTCACTTTATTGGACACAAATTATTCCGGATGTTGAGACCTACAAACATAATTTCACGCATATCACTTCAAACCTTTTGGAAATATTAATTGTAAAGCAAAATAATGATTCATACTAGAGATGGACAGCAGAATCTAGGTTGCATTCTATTTAAGGAGTTCCGAGCAAAAAGTAATGAGATTGACTAACAGCATGGCCAAAGAGCACCTCTCAGATTCCATATTTGGTGCAGTCATGTAAACGTGGACGCAAATGCTATAGCCATCCGTATGAGGATTCGTTTAGATTAATGTTTAAATAGAGAAACCAGATAATAAAATAAGTAAATCTTATGCTATGAGTTCTTTGAAAATAAACAGAATGTGCATAATTACGTTCGTTAAGCATAAATTGTAGAGGTATAATAAAAATTCTCTCTGGTCGTTTGTAACTACGAGTAGATATTATGTATCTGGCTGGTTTAACCATTATGTTATGTTCCCAATAAAAAAGAAAAATGATAAGTTCATTAAAATCACGCCATTTTTCAATTGTATTTGTGATTACTAAAGTAGAGGTAACGACGAAATTCGATGACTGATAAAATTCAACATAAAATGTTCGTATTTTTTATTGATCAAGTAGGTAATTTATTTATTTCTTCAGAACTAAATCTTAAATGGTTTTCTAAATGCCATCAAAACAACTTGCATCAAATGCATTTAGTTGGTAAATACATAATAATGAAATAAATAATACCTACTGCCAGGTATAGCCAAACGTACACCGTCATCGAAATACCGCCTGAATATAGAATATTGCATGGCTTTAATGAAAATTATCAGCGAGCTGTGACGTCCGAGATTCGGGAACATGGGAAATGAACACCAATTTAGTGCGGCTTCCATCATAACCGCGCAAACTGCTTACAATATTGGTTTTTAATCTGATTGAAGTTTTGCCTCCGAAAAATTGTGTTTATTTTGTACTTAATCATGTACGGTTTTTAAGTCGATGTAGATTTTTCTTGAAAAGGACATCTGTAAACAGCAACACTTCTACCATTAAGTACGTTTCTCGCAAAATGAACATTTATGTGTTTCAACGTTGCAGATCAACGTTGAGGCGTCATCGTCGGTCGTAGAGTTATTTGAAAGAAAGAAACAGAGAAAAAATATTTATTTCAGGTTTATTAGGATTTTTAATATAGTACGAGTATTCTATACCTATTAAAGTCGGTCATTGCACTTAGGTATCAGATCGTCAATCATCATTGATATGGCCAGGGGTCATTTTTATCAGATAGGTAGAGGTTCAGCTGGGTCCTAATGGTTTCATTGGAACTAGTTGCAGAAATCGAAATCTTCCTCAATCAAAGTAAACTGACATGTATAGTCATGCTCAAAAACTTTAGTCAATTGTCATCATTCATCTCTTTGCCCCCAGGATTGTCAGCCCATCGTCACATGCTTTCTCTATTATACTAGCTTAATATATTATGCTGCAAAGGTTTGTGTCGCTATAGCCATCTGCCATTACACTGTTTGTTATTGTCTCAGATCATAGAAGGGAAGTTATTGTAGTTTTGCCCTCTACCATGCGAGCTCTAAGCGCCTTTTGGTTTGCACAATGATTGGTTGCGTTGCAACCATACCTCACGGTTTTCATCAAAGATTCATCCCAAAAAAGTACAAACTCACAATTTCGTTGTAAAATAGATTTTATTACAACCATAGAAGA